CTTGGGCCATGGCCGGGCTCAGTCGGCCGCCCCTTGGGCTGGTGCTGGGAGGAGGCCCGGGCGCGGCTGCCCCGGGAAGGCCGGCCCCCAGATCGGGGCCAGCTTCCCAGCAAAAGGGGGTCGGGTGGGGTGGGGGCTTCCCGGCGCCCTCTAGTGGCCCCGCCGGGCCGCCGGGGGCCTGACCCCAGCTTGGTGGGGTGAGGGGCTCGGCCGCCCAGGCCGCCTCCAGCGCGGACACGGGGCTCAGGCTCGCGTGGCTGGCCCTTGGCCATGGCCTCACCCCGGGACCCCATCCCGGGACCCCTCACCCAGGGAACGGATTCACAGCTGAAGGAGCCAACCTGTGGGGAGATGGTTGGCTTGCCAGGGTTTCCAGAGGCTTGGCTAGCTGGGGGCGTCCCATGCAGCTGGGCAGGAGGGAGAAGCCACGCCTGTCCCTCCAGCCTCCTAGGCTCAGCTAGGCCTCAACCCTGCAAACCCTCCACTGCCCAGAGGGTGGCCAAGATGAGGAGAGCCAGGGCACCCCCCCCCAGATCAGACGCCCTGGTACAACTGAGTCTAGGAGGGGGCCCCATGCCATGGGAGGCCCAGAGGGAGCAACAGACCCCAAGCTCCCAGGAAGACTGGGCCAGGTGCTGGGGGGGTGGGCTGGGGAGAAGGCATGGGGCAGAAGCGGCCTGGGCCCAATTAGCCCAGCTCCTGGTGGGAAGCAACAGAGCCAGGGCCAGGGGAGCCCCAGGGCAGGGAAGGGAGAGCCCCTGCGCTCCACTGGCACCCCAGCCCCCTCTGGAGACCCCCTGGGTTTGCAGGGCCACAGCCAGGCACCTGCTGCCCTGCATCCAAGCCCCACCCACCACTGCTCCAGCTCTCACTGGTTTATTTTAATAAATGGAGCCACTTCTGGGGAAAGAACAGCTCGACTCTTATCATCTGAGCACAGGTTTCAGTAATGGTTTTGCTGGGCTGACTTCATAAGAGAATGTCCAGGCACCCCCACCTAGGAGCCTGTTCCCCTGCACCTGTGGCCTCAGTCCATTTGCCAACGCAGTGTAGACGGTGGTGGCTTGGGTCCACGTTGGCGCTCTGAGCACTGAAGCCACCCCAGGGACCTCCTGGTAGGAGGAACGGGGAAGGTGATGCCAGGCACTGGAAGTGACCCCAGGGCCTGGGCCGCACAGATGAAAGCACTCTCCCTCCCATGGACGGGGATGTCCAGCAGCGTTGGGCCAGCACGGTGCCCTCCTTGACCCCTGCTCCCAGGGGCTCCCAGCCAGGATAGTGCTGGGAGTCAAATGGAGGTTCACAGTGGCTCAGGGACCCTGGGGCCAGCAAGGGAGTGAGAACTCGGCTCCTGACTGGTGGCTGAGATTGAAGAGGTTGCAGCCCCTGCCCCAGGGCACTGCCCCTGGGTTCTCCTCCAGACCCAGTGGTCATCCCAGACAAGAGAGCCTGGACTGTGGAAACACACCTTGCCGATCAGAAAGGCAGATACCTCAGCCAGGCCTGGCTGACGTGGGCACAGCAGGGGTGAGGACACGGGCTGTGGGTCAGAGCAGCATTAAGAAGCGTCTGTGGCCAGGCGCCGGTGGCTCACGCCTGTCATCCTAGCTACTCAGGAGGCTGAGATCTGAGGATTGCGGTTCAAAGCCAGCCTGGGCAGGAAGGTCAGTGAGACTCTTATCTCTAATAAACCACTAGAAAACCGGAAGTGGTGCTGTAGCTCAAATAGAGCACTTGCCTTGAGCTGAAGAGTTGAGGGACAGCACCCAGGCCCAGAGTTCAGGCCCTACGACCAACAAAAAGAAGCCACTGTGTGCTTGAGCTCAGCGCTGTAGAAGGACATTTTTTTGGTCTCCAAGAACAACATGCACGGTGCAGTGTCTGTGTGTGTGTGCATCTTTTCACACTGTCCTGGCATTGGGGCTCAGGCCAGCAGACTCCATGAGAAGGGGGAAAGGCTCGATGTGGGGGATGAGGTGATCACACGTGGGGTGAGGTGATCACACTTGGGGTGAGGTGATCACACTTGGGGTGAGGTGATCACACGTGGGGTGAGGTGATCACACGTGGGGTGAGGTGATCACACGTGGGTGAGGTGATCACACTTGGGGTGAGGTGATCACACGTGGGGTGAGGTGATCACACGTGGGGTGAGGTGATCACCCGTGGGGTGAGGTGATCACACGTGGGGTGAGGTGATCACACATGGGTGAGGTGATCACAC